ACGTCGGACCCGTACGCGGGCCATCGCCCTCCATGCGCTCTTCCTCTTCACGGATGTCTGAGAGCCTGTCGGCCGTCTTGACCAGCTTCTTCCCCCGCCTCTTGGTCGACTCTGACTTGAGCCTCTTGTGCGGGCGCAGCCCGGGAGCCAAGGCCCGACCCGGCTCGTCAAAGCGAAGGACAGTGTATGCCTCGGCGTTGGCCTCATTGTCTCGCCGCCTGCGTTCGATGTCGTCGTACGCCTCCTTTCCCATGGTGATCATCAGAACAAAGGCTAGGGGCGCAACGTAGGTTGTCAGGTAGCCGATACGCAGCGCCGGAATGGCCTGGGACAGGGCCACCAGCAAGAAGTACATGTTGAAGAAGAAGGAGAATTCGTTGTACAGCGTGACGGGGAGAAACGAGAGGGCGGTGTATTTGGCGTTTGATATCAGATTTGGCGGGAACTTGGTCGATTGTAAAGACCCCACGGCAATGTGTCGCGCGGCGGAAGGGTCATCCTCTTCCTCCTCTGCTTCTCCAGAATCGTCCTTGACTGAACCAGGGGCTCCACTGCCGCCCATGAAGCTCCCGAGTTTCAAACTGGAGCCGAGGGCAGCCAGGCGTCCCAGGCCTTCTTGCGCCGAGGAGCGACGTCGAGATCGCGGCTGGGACCGTCCCGACAGCAGAGGCGCATCATCACCGGAGGCTCGACTGCCATCGGCGGACTGCGAAGTGGACCGCCTGTGGCCACCACCCAGCAGAGACTGGGAATCGTCGGCGGCGCCATCTCTGTCCTGGCCGAGCTCGCCGTACCCCCTACTCCTGTTCCCACGTCGCAGGCCACCCATGCGGAGGTTGCGGAGGGCTATCCTCGGTGAACGCGATTCTCCCGTGTCGCGGGCGTGTCTGGCTTGGGCGGAGCCGCGTTGGGACGTGGTGGCAGGGTCGAGCTCCTGAATGTCGAGGTCGAGGTCTGAATCGGAATCATTCGGCGAATCTGGCGGCTCCGCAGGACGATATGAAGAGTTGGGAGGCATGCCGCGGCCGGTCTTGGGGGTCGGGGGAGCCTCTACAGCTTAGGAGAGCTGACGAGAGGTGATGATGATTCGGCTCGATCGGGGCGTTAGACGCTGACAGGACAGCTGCATCTGGAGCCGAAGCTTGGGGCGGCGTCAAAAGTTGCCGGTAGTTGAATGAATCGAGGGTTAGGGTGAGTTGGCCGCAGTTGCAAAGCTCAAGGCCAGACTCGTGCTGGAAAGTAGAAAAGTGGCTGAGGCAATAGATACATCAAGAAAAGGGCGACGCTTGTTCGGACAGGTATACTGAATGCATCCGACAGGGCAGAAACTAAGCGGCCCAGGAGGTATGATGCCGACGTGGATGGGTGGATGGACCGGGATGCAGGGAAAGCAAATCAATCGCGACTGACGGTGCACTGGCAAGGCTGGGTTTGAGGTACGTACTGACTACGAGGCCTGGTGGACACTCGGTCTGTGGCACTGTGGCGCCTGTAGTACGTACCTGGCAGCCTGGTACCTAGGAAAGCTAAGGTATCTTACCTTACCTAGGTAGGTAGGTAGGTACTTTAGGTAGGTGACTAGGTGGGCTCATCAAGCTGTGACGTTCAGGGACCAGCCGCGTGGCCATTGCTTTCTGCGACGTGCCTAGGTAGGGGATGCACAAGCAAGACAAAGGTACTGTGCCTCAAACGACATGGACCTCGACCACCATCCATTACTGTGGAACCACCATGACCATTTTACTTGGATGATGTAGATGGCTCGATATTGATGGGGCATCCGTTCTACCGTGTTTCCCCTCCTTCATGTGACCACGACAGAGTCTCATGAGCATATCTGGCTTTCTTTTGGGCGTACCATGCAGCTAGCTGGACCCTTAGGTTCCGAGCTCTAAAGTCTGTCTCTACAGGTGGCTTCCTCCCTACCTACCTACCTAGGGAGGTAACCAGGTAGGTGCCTACCCACCTGGGCAAGGTGCATGCCTGTCCGTGGCACGACCGGCAGTGGCCCACTGAAGAAGCGCTGAAAAGGACACCTGGAGGCCCGGATGATGCGCCGGTTGAACCTCGGTGGCGTGCTCGTTTGGGCGCGGGACCTGGGGGCCAGGAGAGAACATGACACGGAGGCAAGGGTGACAGACCCACCATGGCCTCGTACACGCCACGGGACTGGACGATGCCTGCTCAAGGCTCGATGCTCGATGCTCGATGCCCGGTGCTGCCTTCCATTCCCCGTTCCAGACAGAGGATTGCTGCCAGCTTGCACTTGTCTCGCCCCGTCTTGGCCTCGCTACAATCCGTCATCATCACTTCTGTACCTCAACTGTCTGCCGCCCCTGTATTCTACCAGCACCTAATACTCTGTTCTCTTCCGACAGCATCTATCTCCCTCTTTCTCCAGACGAATCGAACATGGCGCTTGGGGCCTGGCCTTTTCTGTAGATCCAAGCTTTGACTGTCCTTGTACGTTTTCCTTCATCTTACTTACCCAGCTTTGCGCGACCTCCTTTTTCTGTCTCCACGCCTCATCTCAATTGCAACCTCCCTGGTGTCGCGTTTTTTTTGCTGCGAGCACACCACCTGAGATCCTGAGATCCTGAGATCCTGAGATCCAAAAACTTTCTTGGCTGACCTATCCCATTCGGAAAGCCTTTTGCATCTATCAGGGTTTCCCCCCCCCAAGAAAGGAGCCGTTGCTGAGAAAAGCTGTTCCCGACCTTCATCAACTGGGTCGAGCCAACATGAGCTCCGACGAACACGTTTCGTCATGGCATCCCGCTCTGATGCCTAACAGCAGTGCTTCTGCCACTGTCGACGGCCATCCCTCCGCTCCTGCACACATCCAACCACCACCGGTCCAAGATTCTTTGGAGGGATCCGAACCATACGCGCACCACACAACCACATCATCTGCAGACTCACCCGCGCAACCCGAGGCCACCGCCGATCTTGATGCGTCGCTGATCAACGAGCCAACCGAACTCACGTCCACTTCCGAAGCTACCATGCCTCCGGTCCCTGACCCGATACCCCAGGACGAGAGCGCCATACCAACAGCCTGGTTCGCAGAGGAACCACGTCGCGCAGCTGATGCCGAGAGACTGGCTGTGTTTGACATCCGACTCTG